AGAAAAGTAGACTTATGGCATGATCACTATTCATTTGCCGTGCTGGGGTCAGGAGGAACCACACTGTTGGTGAGAATTTCTTGCCATGTGTCTGGCTTTGTGAAGTTCATTGTAATCTGGTAATCTATAGCAGCAGGACCTGTCTTCTAAGTATATAACTAGTTCAGTTAAGCACTATATAAGGAATGTATCTAATTTGTAAAATGACGTGTAGTCAAACTGAAGGTTTTGTTTAAGTAGACGCTAAAAAGAAACTTTTGCCTGTTCTCCTAGCTACAGTCAGTGTTGACTGAAAGAGAACTTTACATTACTCAGTATATGATATAGACAAATTCCTAAATCATCTTGGGTTGTTGGTTGTTTGTTTTTTTTTTAGTTTTTCTTATATTCAGAAATCCAAGTGCATTAAAACTGTGTGTGAAAAGAAATGCCCCTTTTTAATTAGAAGATCTATCTGAACATTTAAACTAGATAAAGATCCATCAAATCTTTATCATTTAATTGGTCTTGAGCAGTGTGAAAAATTGTTGGTTTAAATGATGCAGCTTCTTGAAACAGGTTATTTGTGCAAATATATTTTCTCCAGTACTTAATCAAAATGTGATGAGATGTGGAAATCACTGATACAAACAAAAAAAGTCTCATTTTGAAGTTCCCATGTCTTATGTTCATAAAGAGAAATTATATGTGTATAGTGACCAATTTTTTACCAGCACAAGGGAATACTTCAACAGTGAAATATGGCCCTGTTGTTGGATCTATCTTTTGGCCTCCAAAAGAGATTTAATTAACTGGGGGGGGAGGGAACGTATCTGAAGTAGAAAAAAATTAAAGCTAATTGGAGACATCTATGCCACACTGATATCATTGTTCTGGTATGTAAAACTGAATGTTTATATTTTGATTTAGAAGAGGAGGCAGGGAAGAAGGGAGTGAGGGAAAGCATAATATATTCTTTTTGGCTTTTCCAAAAGAAAGATTAAAGTAGGAAAGAAATTTAGTGATCCTTTTCTGCATATTGAAAACCTATGTCTAATCAAAGAGAAAGATATTATTTCCATTTTATGTAGTTGTGACAGAACTTATACAACTTCAAACCTAGGAGGGTAAGGGCCTCCTTTGCCAGTGTGAATTTCCTTGTCTTCCTTTTAATGAGTGAAGATCAGATGCCTTATTTGGACATAGGGAAGATGAGAACAACATCTTGCTGCTGAAGTTAATTATTGTTTAATACGTTACTTTTATCATTGTGCAATGTCAATGAATATTTTCACATGTCACTGAGTATAAATCCTGAAATATTCAGCATGTGATTCCATGAGAGAATGAATGGTGTCATCTAGATCACTAAGGAAGGAAAGGAAATTGTTATGTGTTGTGGATAATGGATGGGTTATCATCTGGTCTTCAGTTTTCTCTTTAGCTTGTCAAGTCTGCATGAAGTTATCTCAGACTTAGACTTGCAACTGCTAAAGTAATTGGGCTCAGAGCAGGGGAGAGTTGTGTTTTTGTTTTTTGTTTTTAACCATTAGTCCAATATTATTACTTTTATTGATAAAAGAAAGAAAATTAGAGACTATGGGAACTGAATCAGAGAGAGAGAGGCTTTAGAAGAACCTAAATGTAGCTTTGCAGCACTGATGAAGCATTGGCTATCAAGACACTGGAGCCAGGTTTTTTGTAAAAGTACATGATGAGAGGACGAGTTGGTGGATATAAAAAGAGGTTCTGACTGGATATAAGGAAATACTTTTCCACCATGAGGACATGGGTGATGGAGAGTTTCTAGAGTTTCTGTCTAAGGAGGTTTCCACGGCTTAGCTGATCCTCAGAAACCTGGTAGTTGTTTCTGATGGGAGCAGGTTAGACTAGACATCTCCTCTCATCTTTTCCAATCTGAATTATCCTGTGGTTCTATGACATTCACTCTTCTCAATCAAAAAGAGTGATTTTGTGCATATGTGTATTTCAGTTATGTAATTTTTGTTTTTTCTGTAACAGTTTGACTTAGAATGCATCATAAAAAATTTATTTAGAGCACTAGGTGTCAGTTCTTTTGTCTGTTTTTTTGGGTTTTTTTTTGTTTTTCTTTTTTTTTTTTTTCCCCATGTGGTTTCATTGGTGACTGTTAACTGGTGAGATCTACAAAACATGATCATACTTCATTTTTTCTTTAAAAATAAAAATAATTAACACAAAATCCGACACACACACAAAATCCGATAACAACTGTCTCTCTCTCTTATTTTTACCTATTATGTAATAATAAATATTAGAAAGTACATGGGAGATGGACTTTAGTAATTTCATTCTCATTCATTTTTCATTTTGCTTCAAGTAGTCATCATTACATATGAATAAAAAAATGAAACCACAACCCTTTTGTAGGGGGTCTACCCTTTATGTAGACACATACTTGCCTGATTTGGGTAGTTAATGAGCAATCAGCTGTATTCTTTAATGAGTGCTTGATCTGTTTCTTACATTTGTGAGATGTCTTTTAGCTGTAATTGTGGTAATATTTAATATTTTTTAGTGTGCTGTTGGTTTTGGGGTGATCCATTTTACACTTATTCATGACATTATTCTTCTCTTTCAAAAAGAAGTAATGGATAATCAGTTTCTTCACATTAATGCTGGGGACAGAAATTATTTCTGATCAAGGAATTTAACACAGACAGTGATGTTAATGTCAGCAAGAAGAGGTTTTAGGAGAAAGATTTAACTCAACTGTAGCAGAAAAAGTCTGAAACAGCTTTAGTGGTTAAATTACTTTTGACATAATTTTTTGTTTATGTCCCTAATATTTCTGTGGTATATTTTTGAGTGATAGATCATTTAGGCTGACTTGCAGATCTGAAAGATTAACATTTTAAAAATATTCAGTTACCTTGTTATATACTGTTGTTAGTGTAAGAGGCAGTTTAACTGAAAAATGAATATTAATAAACTGACTTTTTAGTAATTCATTTTGAAAGCCATTTGACCTTAACTAGAATGAAAGTAGACTGTAAAAATCATCATAGATTCTCTTCCTTGAACTTTTCACAATGCAAAAAAATGACTGAGGGAAAGAAGCAAGATCCAGTTACTGTACCCTGTTTGTACAGCTGTACTTCATTGAGTGGAGGCTTGTGTTACACACAGTTTGTGATAGGAAGTAAATGCTTTTAAAACAACTAAGGAGACAGGTCTTTAACCTCCACCTTTTCAGATGCTTTTTTCACTCATTTAGCTTCTGTTAAGGTCTTGGGAAACATTTTAAATACAAATTATTATTGAGTACTGAAGCTCACCTGAATAATTCATCTCCTAGTGAGCTCATTAGGTAGGATTAAGTCAAGATGGTTTGTTAGTGTTATTGTTTGGATTTTTTTTTTTTTTTTTTTAAAGAGAGAGAGAGAAAGATCACTAATTCTTGATACAATGAACATTTGCTGCTTCAGGAAGAAATGCTTTAAAGAATTAATAATTCTCAGGTTGAATGTTAGTTTTATGATAACAGAACCTACAGTTTCCATTCAGCAACAGTAAGGATTTTCAGTGACTTAGAAAATATGCAGAAATGGTGTTGTTATGCAGTCTGCCAAAAATCCATCAAAATTCATTACATTTTAAAATCTCATCATCTATCATACAAGTCTGTTACTTCCTGTTTCAAGACTGTCAAGTCCATTGAAATGTTTCAGGTACCTTAAGATTCATTTTTTCACATTGCAAACAGATTTTAATCAACAGGCCTGAAATACTGAATGGAAGCTTGGTGCTAGATAATTTCAAACCTTTAAATATACATTATAAGATCATTCTGTGAGTGGTATTATAATATCTGCAAATGGCACTTTGATTACTTGGGTGAAACAATTCAGTGATGAAGGTACCACACAGCTGGTGGACAGCTAGTTAACTTGTAATTTCTGTAATCTGCTGAGGCTTTGAGTATGCTTCATCCCTTGGGATGTACGTGACCTTAAATTAGTTTCTGTGCTAAATAGGCATTATTTGATCTACATTAGCCACCCACTTTCTCATTTTGTTGTGATTAAGGTCTTCCTCTTTCTTTGTATCTTTATATCTGATGGCCGTGAATTTTTCTGGCTTTCTTTTCTGTTTGAAACCTCTCACTTAAGACTGTTTAGATATAAATATTCATTGTGAAGAGAGCATCCAAATTTGCACTAAATGAGAAAATGCCTTGAAATACAAATAGGATTTTGAAATATTTTTCTTCACAGTAGTACAACAGAGGTGTCACACTTTCAGAAAAAAAAAACAAACAAACAACACCTGACCCTGTTTTTGCCCTTATTCCAGCAACATTTTTAACTGTAACACAAGAGAATTTTGACTGTCTTTTGACTGATTCCAGAATTTCCAACACTTTCCAGCAAGAAGCCATTTGTTTTTCCATTTGTGTAAAAAGAGTGGGCAGGCAATGGTGTTTTGTGGTCTGTGGTACAAGTGGATTTACGTGCTCCAGAAAAGCATAACAGCAGATGTTGGTTAAGTTGTTTAAAAACGAAGCATAAGATTTGTGGAACATTTTGTGTTTCCTTCTAGTGTTGAAAGTGTTGAATTATAACTTCGGTAAACAATGAAAGCTTTAAGACATAGTCAGTCCTTGTCCTTGTTAACCCCATGTAGGTCCTAATGAATCTCATGTTATCAGGAGACTTAGCTCAGGCTTTCTGAATGTTAAGCTCTCTTCTCATATCCCTTTCTGCCTCTCCAGTGATGAATTTTGTTCCTGCTATAGTCTCACTCTCATCGACACAAAAGTTACACTGACTTGTATCTGCTTATTGACATTTAACCCATCCTACTGAAGCTCACTCTGAACAATAGTTTTTATTACCTGCTATGCTATATTACACTATGTTATAATAGTAAAGTGCAAATTGGAGGATTAGTTGTATTTAGCTGAAGAAAAAAAGGGCATGGGACACAAGTATTACTTTATTCACTTGTACATACATCATTAAAAATTATCTGTTTTGCAGAGGTTAATATACTGTGGGCAGCGCACCAGGTACATCATAGTTCTGAAGATTACAACTTGTTCACAGCCCTGAGACAATCCTTTCTGCAGAGATACACCTCCTGGGTAAGTTGCACAGGATTTGACAAACAGTATCACCGTGATTTAGTAGAAGTGAAAATACAATGTTTATTTCCTTTAAAAGGAAAACATCAATTATTTAAGATACTTGGCTCTGAAAAGCAGAGAAGATGAAAGTGAAGAATCTGAAAGTCATAAGGTTTAAAAAGTACATTCATCAGTGCTTTTAGAGCAAACTTGAAAAGAGATACAGTCGTTAAGAAGGCTAGCTCTTTTTAATATATTTATAATTTCCCAAGTAAAGATGATAGTTTTTAGTTTAGTTATTCATGCATAATTACATGGAAAAGTTCAGAGTATAATATAACCGCTCTAAAATTTGTCTGTGTAGCTGAATGAAGCAGAGAAAGAAACAAGTAAAGATTACTTTGGACACATGCAAACAGATTTATTTGTCTCTGCTAGTGACGTATGTGTCAGCGCTCAAAATCAAAGAAGTATGCCACCACTTTTACCTAGTTTTGTTTCAGGTAAAATTTAAATAATGAGTTCTGTACACATCAAATAGAAAATAAGACAATTACTCACAGATTTATAAACATATATTTTCAGATACATTCATAAATTCATTGAATGTACTATCCCACTTTTAGTTTTGGGCTCAGGGTAACTGCTGCTTTTCATCAGTTGCTTTCTTATATTCTCTTTTGAATGCTTTTTTTTTTTTTTTTTTTAACTTAGATTTTTTGTTTCTTTCTTTTTTTTAAGATTATAATTTGAGAACTTGAACTATTTGCATTAGATATTAAAGTAATGTTAAATATATATTATAAAATATATGAAAGCTGTGCTCCAGTGAGGTGTAATACAGCTGGGTGGAAGAAACTTACAGACCTTTGGCAATTTCTATGACTAGCCTATGAGCAACTGGATTTATGCTCACATAACTGAATGTGGATTTAGCCTGTTGTTCATAATTTTTTCACGAGCATACTATGAGATTAGTAGGTTCAAAAAAAAAAAAAAAAAGGACAGGTTCTTTAGGAACTTGAGAAAGGGATACTATTTCTGAGTTTTTTCTTAAACTCTTTTCTATAAATTCATGTTAATTTTATTCATAAAATAGTCATCTGATGTTAGCAGCTATGCCTCAATTTTAAATGGCCATTAATGAACAACAGTGGAAATAACTGTCACAGCTCTGCTTCCTATATAAATACGGCCATGTTAAAGATTTAACCTTTGAACATATACCCATTGGGACCATATGTTCAAATACTTAACAAAAACAATAATTCAAAAGAGACAAAAAGCCTGTGTGTATACAGATGGGTGTGTGTATGAGCACTTTGTCTGCTTGCTTGATTCTGAGGATGATGCCTTTGAGAGCACAAAATATTCAGGCAGGCCAAGATGTCTGGTTTTCTTAGGTTCTGGAGACCATCCTCAGGACCACACTGGTATCACTTGGCAAATAACATGCTCATTTAACATTGATTTGCTTTGAGAAAAGGGAAAACAGTGTAGAAATCCATTTGTGTGCAGTGTTTTTTCCACCAAATATTTGATATTAACCAAAGCATTTTGTTGATATGAGGATTTTCCTCTATCCAGAACTTCAGGGAGGTGGACTAGTTTTCTTTCTCCAAAGCCTTAATGTGCATGAACACAATTCCTGCTAATTCTTGCACTTCTGTTATTTTTGGACTGCCAGACTTTCCCAGAACCTCATGGATGTATCTGCTTAGAAGTTGAAACTCAGTGAAATCTTTAGTTAATCTTTGAGAGTAGTCTGATGTCACTGAAACTGTACTGTTGAACACAGTTTCCATCCAGTTCTGTGGGTGCTGTGAGAAAGTCGTGGTGGATGTTGTGGGATTGTGAGACTATTCTGTTGCCAGATCTGTATGTGTTTTAAGTTAAACATTGTAAGATAAATAAAACATGTAAGATAAATAAATCAGCATATCGATCTGTGTGGGTTGTGTTTGGGCTGATTGAAAAGATGTGAAATGAAAGAGAAGAGAAAAACATATTTTAAGTACAATTAGTGGCATGAGCTGTACTGACCTTGAAACTGAATGTCTGTCACTTCAAATCACTTGCACACAAAGCATTTCCATTTGTCCAGTGGAGAGGCTGTGGAGAAGCAGACATACTGGTAGACTGAGAAGTGGTTTTAAAGCCCATTTGGAGTGAAAAAGATGGAAAGAGTGTATATTAATTCTTAAGAAGACATCAGCAAGCTGATCTTGTGTACGATTTTTTGCAACTGATGAAATTCTTAGTTAAAGTGCAGTTGTGAAAGGAGAATGCACCATATGCAGCATGAAAAAATGTGTCTTAGTTCCTTGAGTACCAGTACTTAACTTTCATCCAACGGTAAGACTTTAATTTGAAATTTATATAAAGCTATCTAATCAATTCAGATCTAAAGGTTTGAGTTACACCTGATGCTTTAAAAGTGGTGGATATAATTTTAGAAAGGAAACAGGTAACTCTTTGTTCCACCACAGAATCTTTATTTCCTAATGAATTCTCACAAAAGTGTATCCTGTGTGAACTAGCTAGCTAGCTGGAGGTAATTTTCCTGTAGAGCATCAGAGCATTGCTGTGCACCATAGTCCATTTGCTTTTTGCTAGAAGATCAGCAGTTAGCCCCAGAGACAGGGCCTAGAGAGAGATGGACTCAGTGCTGGTCCTGTTCAGGAAACTCCGCCCTTCTACTAAACTTTAGGATATTCACATCTTTCCATTTCTTTGTGAAAGCATTTATAAGCTTTTACTTAGAATTAGAGACAGAAAGATAGAGAATGCCCAATTCAGAGAGCATTCAGCACTCTGGTGGACATACACTGTTCCAAAAACGCAAGTTCCTTAATTGTTGACATGCAGCTGTGATGCATGAATTCCTCTCTGCTTCCTCAGTGAGTGCATTTCCCAGGTTCACTGTGGCTCTCTCTCAATTTCTGTTGCTGAATTCACATGTGGGAAAAGATTTGAGTGTGACATTTTTCTGCAGTTTTGAACAGAAATTCCATCTCTGAGCCAGGAAAGCTTTTCTTCTGCAGATTAGTGAAAGCTGGTATGTTCCTAGGAAATGTTTTGATTTGGTGAATTGGTATTTTCAGTCAAGAACTTTTTTTCTTTTTGATGTTGATCTTGTTGCAGTGCAACCACAAATGGCAGACCTTTTTTAAATAAGAGAATTTCATCTCTGCATGGCTTCAGCTTTCAGAAATGATCATTCAAATCCTATTTCTATAAAATAAAGCTTGCATTGAAAGAAACATGAGGCAGGTAGAAAAGCATTCTCAATTTTACCTATTTATATGTTATTTTCTTCATCTCGCTATTTAGTATGAAAATCCCAGTACTCATTGTGAGAATTAGGTTACAAAATAAATGTGAAGATGATCCTTCCTTCCTCTCTGAGTTACCTGTAAATACCCCCAGATTGCATCTGCAACTTTTAGGGGAAAAGCATATTATCTCTAACTCTGCTTTAAATCTTGCAATCACTTCCATGAATAATCTGAAAACCATCTGTTTTTTTCTTTTTTTCAATCAACTTCCTCTCTGTTCTTTTTTAAAAAATTTCCTGCTCTTATCATGCCATTAGACAGGTACAATCAATAATAAGAGAAAATTGCAGTAACCTTACTGGCCATGTGTCCTAGTCCTTCCTTGGCTTTACTGTAAGATTTTGAGAAAAAACATGCCAGCCCTCTGGCTGTCATGAGACAAATATCTCCCAATCTCTTTTCTTGGAGTTTACTGCACTTTTAGTAATTGAATACTAAGGGTGTCCAGGTTGCTGGTAGTCTGATCTGCTCTTAGTATTTAACTCTAAAAAATGTCTCATACCCATCTCAAAATTTCATATTTAAATGCTGCACCTCCATGATGACATTTACTAGCTCCCACCTTCAGTAAGAGTAGCTATGAATTTGTGTGAGTTTACTGAGATTGAGTGATTATTAGAAATTAAATGTGTAAAATACAAATTCTAAATATATTTTCTCTTTTTTGGTTTCAAAAATGTTGCACAAACACTTCAGTCTTCAAGTACTGATTAAAGCTAGATAATTGATGTTCTGTAAGTTCCAGAAGCTCTGTGCAGTCCTTCTATTAGCTTTGAATTTCTTTACATCTTGAAGAATAACTTCCACGGCACTTAAACAGGAACAATGTATGTATAGCTTGTGGGGCAGCTGTGATCCATGTTATCTGTGAATGTAGTTTTTGAAATTGCAGCTGTCCCAGCCCTAGCAGGTAATGCTGAAGCTCCTGTGATTTTGTGTTTTCTTTCCAGTGTTGAAGCCAGCAGACCAACCTGGAGTTATCCATTGGCTTGTAACACTGAGAAATTACTGTGGTGACTTTTGTGTCAGTCACATCACTGGATTGGAAGTGTGTTTGTTTCACACCCCCAGCTTGATGTCTTACCTACTGGGTAGACCTCTTGACAAAAACAGTAGGAATATCAGCGCTAAATATTATGCATTGTTTTTCTGCAGACCTAAGTTTAAGAAATTTGTTGCTCAGGAGGCCTATCATGGCTATCAAATTGCTTTCTCTGATAATTAAAGACTTTATTTTGTGAGAAGTAGAAAAGGAATTTGAATCTGTTTAGGGAAGAATTAACTTCTTAATTCAGCTGATGTAATGCAAAGTCAGGTAAAAGGGGAAAGAAAAAAAAGTAATTTTTACATGTCAAAGTATTGGAAGTCTTATCCTATTGCTCAGCCAGTGGAATGGTTGATTGATTGTACTGAGACTTTTCTCTGTTTATAAGAAACAGTCGTTTGCTGAAACTACTTCTGTGCCAGCCCATCTTTGTAATCCAGGAGTACATCCTGGTTTCAAGGGATATGCTGTGAGCAAGTTAGGGCAAGAATTTGTAATGAGTTTTGAAAGTGGAGTAAACTCTGCCTTACCGTTCTGGTGCTTGCATAGGGGATGGAAAAGCTACAGTGCTATAAATTCACACCTTGCTTACTCTGTGATAATTCTCCCCTAAAAGTAAAGCCTTTGTGTCAAGGATATGTTGCTGTCTACTATGTGTATTTCAGAGAATAAATGTATCATCTCAGGATTTCTGAATTCTTTACTTGATTTTACTGCTTGCTCACTTTATTGCTTTTGACAAATGACTTTCACAGCAATTTATATCTCACTCGCTATTCCTTGTCTAGTAGCAGTATAATAATCAGTATCTATTCTATCTAATGTCTACATTACAGAGGCATTTTAAGATGGAATTATCTTGTGCACTGTTCTGAGTTCCTGAGATAGTACTTCATTATATCATCGCAATTTTAGATTGATTAGTGTATTTTTTTTTTTTTTTTTGTTCCAGATGTTCAACTTACCCATGGCTCTTTTCATTCCACCATCAGTGTTTGCTGTTCATCTGCAATTTAATCTACTTTACCAGTTTTGGATACATACAGAGGTAAACCCCTTTTTTTAAGCCATGCCTAAACAGTTAGCCTGGAGCAGTGTCCTGGAAATCCACTAGCAGCTGATTTATTGCGTAAGAAAAATCTTTGTCTGACTTCTTTAAGGAGAAACATCTGTTCATTTTTATTCCTTTTTCTGAATATATATTGCTAAGTTTATAAGATGCAATGAGGCCAGTTGGTCCCAATTAGATTAAAAAAAAAAAAAAGTAACTGGAGGAATCAAAATTTTTTTGAATTTTAATACTATATTTTCCTATTTTGCAGCTTATTAAAAAATTTCTGGCAGATAACTACATCTGATTTCATTTGTACGATAAATATTACAGGGAAAAATATATTAAAAAAATAGTGCTTTGGATTGTTTGGAGTTGCAGTTGAAGTCAGATATTACTTCCATCTTAATGTATGTAGTTCTCAGATGAAAAGATTTTGTTTCCTGTTAGCTATTTGTTTATGACTGTTCTATTTATTTATTTTGTGAGTGCATTTGCAAAATCTATTTTACATACACATAAAATTAATAACCCACTGCAATTATTAAGTAGTTTCCCACATTTCTCAAGTCGTTGAACAGCCTTATGCCTTCTCCTGCACGCTACTTTTGCATGTTATGTCAGTAGCCTCTACTAGGCTACAGGCTAATTACCTCATTACCTCTACTATACTTTCACTCCCTTTATTACTCTGATGATTCAAATGCCTTTTTTCCTCTATTATGCCATCTATAGGACAGTTCACTTGCGAAACAATTTTATTCTATTTATTTGCTCTTTTAGGTGATCATGTTGGTTAAATTCCTGTTTTTATTTTATCTTTTCTGTGTGCTTGCCTAACAATATATAGATATATATGTAAACACCACAACCGTCAAAGAGAAGCTATTTACAGTAGCCCCATAGCAAACTTTTGTAATTGACATTTCAGTTCTTCTGGACAAATTTCTAAAAAAAATAATATATGTCTCAAGTTCTGCAACATCATGTGAATAGCAAAGATTTACAATAAATGTAACAAACTGTAACAAAACAAACCGGAACTGTAATAAACTCAAGTAAATGTTGTCAAAATGTTTTGAGCAAATATGATCCAACAGTTTGAAATTATAGCAAATAAATACTCTGAGTTTCATGGTAGCAGTTTCTTTGACCATGCCTTGGGATCTCCAAATTGGTTTTTAGGTGTTTTATTCCTAAAGAAAATATCATGTGGCTCATTTAGCTGTTCTCTTCTGCCTGAAACTATTTGTTCCTTGGCTCAGAGATGTCTCTGGTGTTTAGCAGTAAGTCAATGAGTCTGAGCACTGGTGCCACAATGTATATCTAAAGTGAATTTCAGAGACTTATGAATCACCTACATCTCTCTAAAGTCCTAAATCCTTCATAGGACTTTAAAGCAATTTTTATATCATATGAGCCAAGTTTAGACAGTAGTCTAAACAGGAATGAATTTCACTCTCAATGAAAAGATGAGCACTTCTTACTGCTAAATTAGTGTGTCAGTAGGAAAGCAATGGATCTTTTATACAGATCCAGTTAGTCCAATCATAGATCTTTGCTTATTAACAAGATATATTCTTAGTGTTGATATTATTGAAATTGTAATGTGAATAATATCAGTTGAAATATGTTGAAGTCATGCTTTAAGGTAAAAAAGAACGTCAACATAGAAATAGGGTTACACCCTATTCTTCTGTTGAGAGTGAGGATCTAATGGCCAAGAGAATATAAAGGAGGGGAAACAGCAACAGTTACTGTAGACATGCAGGTTTAAACTAGCCAGTATTTTTGATGAAGTTAAACTGATTTTTAACTATTACACTCAATTTTGTTTGTTTTGTGACAATAGTTACAATTTAACTTTTTAGAGATCTTCCCTTTGTTTTTTCTTTTCTTTTTTTTTTTTCTAACATATTTTCCTGACTTTGTTCTAACAGTGTTAAAAAATATAAGTATATGAAAGTTTGCATCTAAGGGAAGGAAATTTACTTAAGTCTAGATTTCAGTTTGGGGAGTTTTTGTTGCTTAAAGAAATAGTTCAAATTGAATTTAATAATTAAAAGTGAGTCATTCTACTGTGCTGAAGCTTCGCATGCCATGTTTCAGCTTAGAGCAAAAGTTTGTAGCCTAAGTATGATCCCTGATATTTTCCCAAATTTTGCTTAAAATATGTTCAGTACCATTAAAAAAAAAATACTCAGAGAAGTTTCCTGTGTTATCAGTTTGGCATTCTTCAAGATTTGTTGTGTCAGTTTTTGTTTTGCTTTCCTACAGGCAGATTAGGGACAAACTGTTCTATTTTAACTCAAGTAGCTCATATATTCCTGCAGAGACGATCATAAAGATCGTCATGTACCCACTCTTTCTGTCTCAGAGTTCTCAATTGCCTGTATTCTAGGTATTAGCTAACTTTTCTCCTTTTATTTTAAATAAGTTCTCAATTTTACATATTGTAAATTTTACACAAGAATACACTATACCATTTTTTAGTAAGAATAAAAGATCTTTAGCACTGAAATCAGAGGGGGCTGGACGTGAGCCAGCAGTGTGCCCTTACAGCCCAAAAAGCCAACTGTATCCTGGGCTGTATCAAAACAAGTGTGGCCAGCAGGGCAAGGGAGATGATCTGTTCTATGCTGGTAAGACCTCACCTGGAATTCTGCAACCAAATGTGGAGTTCTCAGTACAAGACAGACATTGACCTGTTGGAGCAAGTCCAGAGAAGGGTCATAAAAATGATCCAAGTAATGGAACACTTCTCCTCCAATGACAAGCTGAAAGAACTGGGGCTGTTCAGTCTGGAGAAAAGAAGGCTTTGGGGAGACCTGACTGCAGCCTGTCCATATCTAAAGGGAAGGCTGTAAGAAGGAAGGGGACAGACTCTTTAGCAGGGTCTGTTGTCACAAGACAAGGGGAAATGGTTTCAAACTAAAAAAGGCAAGATTTGGATTGTATATTAAAAATAAATAAATAAAAATAAAAAAGGTTTTTACAATAAGTTTTGTGAGGCACTGGAACAGGTTGCCCAATGAGGTGATGTATGCCATCCCAGAGACATTCAGGGTCAGACTGAACAGGGCTCTGAACAACCTGATTTAGCTGTAGGTGTTCCTGCTCACTGCAAGGGAGTAGAACGAGACCTCTAAAGGTCCCTTCCAACTCAAACGATTCAATAATTCTAGATACAAGTAAGGCACTACTGTAGTTATTAAGGAAGTAAAGGTTCTCCAAGGGTGAAAACACAACTGTGTCATTTAGATAAGTTATGCATTTTTCTTTGGTATATTCAGCAGTTGGAACAATTCCTGCTGTCTGAAGTTCACTTTTTTTTCAGTACTTCTGTATGTTATCACACTGTCTAAATTGCAATCTGAAATATGACTAATTTTCCGAAGACTTTTTTAAAATCTCAGAATAACACCTAATAGTATTGAAATAATTGTAATCATTGCTTATTTAGATGACAAAAAATATAAGTGAATCTGTAATGGTGCATAAAATCAGGATCCCAGTAAATCAAGGGAAAACAGTTTTTGGTTCAGTCCAGTCCAATTTAGGCCAATGGAATGAGTCAGTCAGTAGATGTGGCCTTAAATGGGCAGGGCGAAATGTTTCTATGAGTAGACCATAAAGGAAGTTCAAAAATAAATAAATAACTAAAATAATATTTTGGTTAAAAAGCACTAAAAATCTAATTTTTCAAAAGCCACAAAATGTTTCAGGACTGTTACTGACAGACAGAAATATTCAATTTCAGTTTATTTTCACAGGTGATTTTGAAGGTCTATGGCTTATTTTAAACTATATCCTTCCGTTATGCATTTATAACAACCAATAAGTTAGGTGCATTTATAACCTGATAAACAGCTGTGAAAAAACAGAAATTAGTTTCTGTAGGTTTAGCTGTAATTTTTATGAGATGTCAGATTGTATTTGGAAAATATCAACTGAATCAGTCCCTTTTGGTAGTAATTGTGGAGGCAGATTATTGCTTGCCTGTTTGATCTTCGAAATGCATTAGTTTCTGTTTAATTTTCTAATTTGGGGAAAGACCGTAATCTGTGCCTTTTACCATACTCACAGAAGTCAGACTTCTTAAAGCACCTCTTTTTCCCTTCTCTAAGTCTTCCTTCATCATCAAAGCAGATAAAGGTGATACACTCCAATTAACAAGGAATAACATGGCTGAAAGCAGCAGGAAAGGACTGAGAAACAATTTAGCAGCACCTTGTGCAGGCTGGCAAAAAGGAAATTAATCTAGACATAGTCCAAAACGTGTGTTTATATCAGAAAACAATGATTCAGTAAAGCTGAAACTTGCTATGGAAGTATGCGAAGTATGCTGTATTAAATGCCAGCTCCACCCCCAAATTCACAACCATGAGACAGAGGAAAGCAAAGAGAGAATGATTTCAGTAAGATGCTCCTGTACTGTGTGCAGGTTAAAGCTTGACTTTCTTTAGCTTTGACTTATGTTCCATTTTCTTTAATTAAAAAAATCAAAGAAAGATAGAAATTGTGGAGACTTCATTCTTTCATAACAGGGCATTCTGTTTCTGGCCATGCAAAGCACATTAGCTGTCGGTACAGGTGAGTTGTTGTGGCTCAGTCCTGAAGTCCTTAAGTCCATCATCTCTTACCTAGAAAGACAGCCATGTTCAGAAACAATCTTCAATGGATTTTGAAATACAGGCACAAATTCAATGAGGAAATTAAACAAGCATGTTAAAGAACAAAGTAAAATTAAGTAAAATACATACAAATGCACATAGCTCTTTAAGCAGCAATACATTTGTGAATACCAAATCAATATCAAGATATGTTCTTTTAGATCTGGTGGACTTAGATGTCTCTTCAAGCAGAAACTATTTAAGAGAAATGTCCAGTGGGTGACAGTTAGAAGAATTATAAATTCTTTAGGACAATGTGATAAATAAGTGACAGCATTAAACAACAAATAAGATATTCAAGAGGATAAAGAGCAATGGTCTTAA